AAGAATTTTTTTTTTTTTTTACATTAACTGGGTGTTTGATGCCTTTGTTTTGATGAGAATAACTTCTAGCACTATGAAACAAATAGCTATTTAATTCAGCAGTAAGTTTAATAAACTTTTTGTAACCCCAGCTAGCAAAATAAAGTCACCTATTCAGAAATGAGCTAAAGAGGAAGGTGAACTATTTTAGAAATTTAGTTTAAAATGTATATGTAGTTAAAAAAAATCTAAAAGCATTATATTTTTTCAAAATGGCATTCAATGATGTTCAAGTAAACTATTTCCTTTACTAGGGAGATTAGTTTTTCACAGCTGCACAATGATGTCTGTGGCTATTATCAGACACCTTGGACCTCGTGTTGATTTATGTAGAGGATTCCCTTTACAGTGGATAGGCTGGATAAGTACAACGAATCTCTATAAAACAGATCTTTCATATATCTGTAATAAAATAACACTGCACATATTTACCGTAATGAGAAACTGCATTTGCCTGAAGCATAATAAATTTTTAGTATTAGTGGGCAGAATAAAATATTCCATATAATTTAAATAATATAAATAAAATAACTAATGGAAACAATTTAATGAAATTTAAAAAATTCCATGTATTTTAAATTGTACTTATTTTGTGTGTGTGTGTGTGTGTGTGTGTGTGTGTGTGTGTGTGTGTGTGAGTGTTTGAGGCAGAGTCTTGCTCTGTTGCCCAGGCTGGAGTGCAGTAGTGTGATCTTGGCTCACTGCAATCTCTGCCTCCCAGGTTCAAGTGATTCTCCTGCCTCAGCCTTCCAAGTAGCTGGGATTAAGGAGTGTGCCACCATGCCCAGCTAATTTTTGTATTTTTAGTAGAGATGGGGTTTCACCATGTTAGCTAGGTCTCCAACTCCTGGCCTCAGGTGATCCACCCATCTTGGCCTCCCAAAGTGCTGAGATTACAGGCGTGAGCCGCCACGCCTGGCCCTATACTGTTTATTAAACATTGGTATCCACACTTATTCTATAACTCTTATATATGTTGGCTGTTTAGTAAGCAGATTTTTTAAAACGTTTATTATGGAAAACTTCAAATATATACAAAAATAGAGTGAATAGTATAGTGAGCCTCATGTAGTCAAAACCCAGCTTCAGTAAGTATCAACTCATGACGAACTTACCTCACCCATACTCCCAGTGATCTACCTACACCCTACCCTCTCAATGGATTTTTGGAAGCAAATCCTTGTCATGATATTATTGGGAGAAACACTCTTTCTTGGGACTCTTTTGTTCCTACACATCTTGCTGGGTGGACCAAGAGACTGTAAGGCCCTAACTTCTTTGGCCAGAAGCATTTCTCAAGGTTAATTATGCAGCTGGTAACCTTAAAAATTAGGTAATCCTTCCTTCCACACCCATCAACACCCCCAAACAAAGAGCAGGCTTGCTTACCTCTTGCTATACAATTGGTGGTTTCCCCAAGTTGTGTTCCTCAGCTGTGAAGCAAACTCACTGTGTAGGCAGGTGTCCTCGGGGCCTCTCAGTATTGCTCCCGTAGCGGCTGGGGGCAAAAGGAACCAATACACATATGCTGATGTTCATGCTGCTACCGTGTCATGAGTAATAAAGTTCTTTGTCTCTGACCCATGAAGCTCATGTATTCTGTCAGTCTTCATAAAACAATAACAGGCTAATTTATTAGGTTGGAGGCAGGATCACATCAAATCCTAGATACAATGTGTATCATTTTATCTGTACATATTTTAGTATATATTTAAAAAAAAATAAGAAGTCTTTTGAAAAAGCCCGCAATATATTTTTAACAAATAATAGTAATTTTTAATATCATTGAAAATCCGAAATTGTGTTCAGATTTCCCTAATTATTCATTTTTTTATAGTGTATCTGAAAAAGGATTTGAATATGTTTCATGATCATATTGGGTGATTTGAATTCGAAAATTTTATTTTAGTAATCTGTATATATATAATTCGTAATTTTAACATACAAGTTGGTGGTATTCATTCTATTCAGAATTTTGTGCAACCGTCATCACTATTTCCAAAAGTTTTGCATCAGGGTAATTTGAATTTTAAGTGTTTTTCTTTTAATCTACAGGTTTTCTTTTTCCCATTCTGTTTGTCCTTGCATTTATTTCTTGGAGAAAATCAGATTATTTCTACTATAGTTCCCCCACAATTTGGAATTTTACTATTTTTATAACTGCAGTGATGTTTAACATGTTCCTTTGTTCTCTACATTTCCTGCAAATTGGTTTTTGGATCTAGAGGTTTAATTAGACTCAAGTTAATTTTTGTTTTGTAAGACTTTCATTCATATGGGGTTTCATGGATTTCCATCAGACGGCACATAATATCTTGTTATTTCTCTTTTTGAGATGCTAGCAGCCATTTATGATTATTGCCTAGATTATTTATGTTTTGGGGTACAAAATGATGATATTCAAATTCTATTACTTCTCCTTAATAGCTATACTTCCCTAAAGGAAACAATTGCATAGTACTCCACTGTATGGATATTTACTCAATCAGTTTAAACATATTTTGTAAGTCATAATATCCTGCTTATCAAACATAATTTTATTTTGATGGTTTTCCAACAAGAGAGGTTTTTGTATGCTGTTGCTTGTTTTTTATACATAAAGAGTATAGAGTATGCTTCACGCCTAAAGTAGCATTTGAGAAGAAGTTAAAAACTATTTCTATATGAGAATGTAGAATGTAAAATGTATTTATAGCAAGCAGCAAAATGTATTTTGTCACCCTCTAAAATAATCTGTTCGTAAAGTATCTCTTTTGTTAATAGGCACCCAGGAGTCTTTAATCTGGAAAGAAGGCAATCTTGGTAGGGACAAGTAATTTCAATTTCATTTTCTTCCAACAAAGAGTACTGAGAGCTGGGGAGGGGCCTCCTTTACATGTGTTCTTCTATTTGTTTTTTTAATGCATGGATCTAAAATTAAGCACAGTCCTTTTTTTCGGGTGATAGTACATGCCAAGATGGCATATCGGAATGTTTTCCTTAGAACAACATTGAGACATATGGGTGTAAATCAATCAATTACCAACTCAATGGACTGATTTAGCAAGAATACAAAACTCAAAAGTCACCATATTGATTGAACCTCATGATCACTTTGCAACTAAAAATATTAATTAAGCTTTTCTTTTTATGCCTCACCACAGCAACTCACACCTGGCATTTTGTGAAACTTCTGCATGCTGGGTTTTACGGCAGGTGAAATGTCACATTGCCAAACAGTTCTTCAGTACACTGAAGATCAGATGAATAAAAAGAGAGAAAGAGGAAGTGAAGCATTTTTCAAGTGATTTTTAGTAAAAATCTTGCGCCTCATTATTCATTGGCTTATTGCCATTTAAATAACTTATAAAAGTTCACACATTTTTGAAATGTGGGAGGATTTTCTCTGTCCCTGACTCTCAGCAAAGGGACCAAGAAAGTAAAGTAACAATTCACAAATATATTTGATGGTTTGATATACTTTTTATGTCAGAAAAAAACCTTTTGTCTTAGTAAAAAATCAAAGAAATGGAAGCTTAACTAAATTAGGCTTATAGGAAAATGATTTCAAAAGCCCACCTTCCAAATCAAAAAGTGAATGTGGGTAGGATGTAATTTGGGTTTACTAAATGCAACTTAGTTTTAGTACTCCACTGGTGTGAACTAAATTACTTCAAAACTTAGTAGCTGAAAACAACACACATTTATTATCTCACAGTTTCTGTGGGTCAGAAATCCAGGAGTGGCTTAGTTGGGGGCCTCTGGCTCAGGGTCTCTCATGAGCTGCCCTCAAGCTGTGGGCTGGAGGTGAGGTGCCTTCAAGTTTCCTCACATGGCTATTGGCAGCCTCAGAAGATTCGTTTCCAGTTTCACGTGGGGCTCTCCACAGGGCCGCCTGGAAACAAAGAATCTGGCTTCCCCAAGAGTGAGAAATCCAGAGAGAGCGAGCGAGCACACAAGACAGAAGTCACAAAAGTGACATCCCATCACACCTTCTTTATTCTGTTCATTAGAAAAGCCTCAGTACCCCCAGCCCACCCTCCAGGGGAGTAGATCTCACAAGAGCTTGAATACCAGGATGCAGGGATCCTTGTGGACCAAATCTCGGAGGATGCCTACTAGAGTTTGCTCATTTTAAATGTGAATTTTTAAAATAGAAAATATATTCTCACGGTTAAAAATTCAAAATGTACAAGAATGTATGTAGTAAGATGACTTCTTCATACCCCTGTCTGCCAATCCCCTCCTTGAGCAAATTGTTATCATTTTCTTGTTTATCCTTTCAGAGACATTCTGTTAAACATCAAGTCGAAAACATGGGAAGCCACAGTGTGCAAGCAGAGAGCACTCCACCTTGCCAGCTCAAACCTGCTTTGCAGAGATAACGCTTCCCCGCCCCTCGGATGAAATCTCAAGTGGGCACTGTGACTTTTCACCTCCTTCTCAGATAATAAGCACTTCTCCAGTCACTTTCAGTCATAACATAGTTTTATTTCAGAAATAAATTACCTAGTCCTGAGTCATAGTCAGACTCCAAATTTTAAGGTTAAAGTTTCTCCCCGTCCCCAGCTTGGGCCTGCTTCGTGCCAGAGATCTGCATTGAGAAAAGGTGGAGTGGTGGTAGCTTCTCCATTTCTGTTCTGTTCTTCTCCCCGTTCTCTTCCGCCTCTTTGTGGGTTCACTGGCTTGCCTTTATCTCTTTCAGGGTTTGAGAATGGAAAATGAGTGAAGAAAGGGAGGGAGCTCTTTTCTTCATTTTCAGCTCTTTTGTTTTTTTCAGAAATTTCTTCATGAAAACATCGATCGGATGCTTTCTTAATGTTTGTAAATCTCCCCTTCATTAGCATTTGCTCCTAAGGATGGATCTCCAGTCACTTGGTGCTGGGGTCATTCAGCCCTGGCAGGGAATCCCCAGGGGTAAGTCTCCTCCATGACAACTCCAGGAAGGCTGCCTTTCTCCCTTCTCATTCTCCATCTAGTCCTGGGAAATCCTCACACATCTTTTGTAATATCCTAGACTCTTTGGAAAACTGGCTAAGACTATTCTTTGTCCTTGAGGGCTTTTAGTTTCTCATACTATCTTGCTCAATTCCTTTAGGAATTATTATATCCTGGGGACAAAAAAGGCTCAATGTATCACTCCAGGAATTAGAATCCAAAAGAGGGGATGCATCTGCTGGTTGATCAAACGCTTGTCTTACAGGAAATGAAAGAGTTTTCTTGTAGAACATACTTCCCACATGCTGAGATACCTTTTAAGACAAAATAATTATAGTAATCAATTCTATTTTTTTCCCCAATAACCCAGCATTAAACACACATGGCAGAGAGGCTGAGGTAATTTCAGGCATGGAGCATCAATTAATATGTAGTTGTGGCGGTCACAGTTGTAGGATGCGGTGGGCTTTTTCTTTCTCTCAGAATCACAGTGTTTACAGATGTAAAACAGGGTATCAAGGTGGCTCTAACCAGGGGCAGCTGAGCAATAGTGGAATTACTGAGGGGGAGAAAAGCGGATGGTGAGGTCAGGAAGGTAAGGGCAGCGTGTGAGGAGGAACACAAATGACATAGGTCTTTGGCTTTGGCTCTGAAGGCAAAGGGGAGCTATTTTAGATCTTGAGCAGAAGAGTGACACAATCTGTCTTAAGCACTAAAAGGATCACTTTTTACTGTTTTGTGAATCAACTCTGGATGGGCAAGGGCAGACGCAGGGAGAGCAGTTAGAAGGCCAATGCACAATTTCTCAAAGATTTTGACTCAGCAACCCTATTACTGGGTGTTTACCCAAAGGAATATAAATCATCTTTTACAAAGACACATGCATGCATATGTTCATTGCAGCACTATTCACAATAGCAAAGACATGGAATCAACCCAAATGCCCATCAATGATAGACTGGATAAAGAAATGTGGTACATATACACCATGGAATACTACACAGCCAAAAAAAAGGAACAAGATCATTTTCTTTGCAGGGACATGGATGGAACTGGAAGCCATTACTCTCAGCAAACGAATACAGGAAGAGAAAACCAAATACCACATGCTCTCACTTAGAAGTGGGAGCTGAATGATGAGAACACATGTACAGAGGGAGGGGAACAACACACACTGGGGCCTGTCAGGGGATGCATTAGGAATACTAGCTAATGCATGCAGGGTTTAATACCTAGGTGATGGGTTGATAGGTGCAGCAAACCACCATGGCACACATTTACCTATGTAACAAACCTGCACATGTATCCCAGAACTTAAAATAAAAATTAAAAATTCAAAAAAAAAAAAGGCCAATATAGTCATTCAATGAGAGACAATGGTGCCTGAGACCAGGATGCAGTGGTGGAGGTGGTGAGAAGTGGTGTGTTAGGGTTGGCTAGTTCACAAGAGCCAATTATTAAATGTTTAGGACGTTTGCAAGTCAGTTATTGAATATATCATTATTAAAAATTAAGTCAAAGCAACATATTAAATAAATTATGTACAACAAAAGTAATATATGCTTAAGACTCATCACTTTTTGTTTTTACCTAATTATTTTACTGTTATTATTATTTGTATTTTTGGCGATATTTATACCTATTATATCTGAGATCGTATCTGGTAGAAATACTCTATAGTGGGGTGTGGCTATGCATCTCTTCCCATTTCAGGATAGTCACTCCCAAGTGTTGTAGGCCTGGAGAGAGGAGGGTAGCACTCTCGAGGGGATGATATTTCTCGGAGGATGACAGTATTCAGTGACATTAGGAGTTTGTCAGCCATGGGGGGAGTCATTTACACCACAGGAAGTGGAGACACTACGTGTGGCTCATTTTGTTTTTCAAGAGAACTACTTGCTAAACATTTCAGTGCATCCTTGCTTATCCTTTTCCCAGTTATATCTAGGAATGTGCCACCACCCCATCCAATGTTTTCAGGGTCCCTCACTTCTCTTATGTCCCCAACCACAGACGGAAGAAACTTAATAAAGAGGTTAAATAAGTATCATTTACATTACAACGAGATAGAAGTAACGTATTTGTATTAAGCTTCATGCCATTCATACATAATTAGTTACGTAAAATCCCCATACCTGTGATTGAATTTTTAGTGCTGGTCCTAGCTTTAATCCCATAGTGCCTCGAAGATGCTCTTCTGTGAGTAATGGCAACGTTTCTCCATCAATTGCATGATCTTTAAATACCTTAATAAATACAAAAGGTATTAATTTGGTCTGAATGTCTTTTTTTGAAAAAAGTTCTTCTACCATCTAGATATTTTAGTTTTGGAGAAAACATTCAGACTGCTGGAGGATGACAGAAAAATCTGCGAAACCTTTTTTTTAGTTGCTCTCTTTTCTGTGCTCAGTAGCACATTGCTTGTGCTCTTTAATAACCCTTGGAATCAACTGTCATTCTCTGTTTATAGAACTCAGTTCCAACCAGAAATAGTGATTATTTGAAGGCCAGGTCCATGTATCACTGAGCAATATATCCCAAATACAGAGGCTGGCGTATGGTAAGAAGATGTACAATAAATATTGCTGGATAAATGAATGAGTGAGTAAATGCTCTAAGTAAAGGGATGTGGGTAAAACCTGTCATGGTAAATTTCATCTCTCACATTTGCAGATGTGGTATCTTCTGGCCATGCCTTAGATACCTTGTAAAGGGAAGAGAGGAACACACTGCTGAGAGCTTTCACTAGACCTTTCCGGCAGCTCTGTCCTGGCTCTGTAGTGGACGTGGCATGCCTTCCTTTCTTTAAAAGCCAGGAAGGCTGCTGGTGGACAAAGATTCCAGGCAGATAGAGGGATACAAAATCTAGGCAGATTGATAGGACAGTAATTTCATGATCTTCAGCTTCAACTTGCCTGGAAATCCTTCTATGTTCACTGTTGAGCTTTCTCTCCCTTCTATTTCAAGCCGTCCCCACCCTCCTTAAACTTTAGACTCTGTAGGGAAAGTCCTCCCTCATTTTCAGTAGATCATAGCACTTCCTAACTTAAAACAAAACAGTAGATAAGAACCCCCTCTAACTCTAACCAATTAATCTAAAAACCTTTATTTTCTCCCATTGTCATGATACAATGGAAGAGGAGAGGTCTCTCCATCACTTAAAGACAATCGCTCCACATATACTGTGGGTCCTCACCCCTCCCACTTCCAGGTTTCACTCAATAGATAACCCCCTCTTTTCTCTTCACTCTCTGCTGGCTCTTCCCCATTGGCATTTAAGTCTCTACCATCCTTAAACAAACACAAATAATGAAAATACTCAAACTCCATGTCCAAATACTGCCTCACGTCTCTCACTCCCTTCACGGCCCAATTTCTCCAAAAGGGTTTGATGCTTCCTGCTTTCACGTTCTCATTTCCCAGTCACTGCGCAGTCTCAGGGAATCCGAGCTCTGCCCTGACCATTCCATTAAGCCTGCTCTCCTCAGCCTTCCTGGTGCCTCTGGTGTACCGAACATGCAGACGTTTTGCAGACGCCACATTTCTGAAGTTCCTGGCTGCATCTGACATTGTTGACGGTGCCTTCATGAACAGTGCCCTTCCTTTCTGTCATGAGGCTGCTTCCTCCTGGGTACCCCTGTTCTCTCCTTCAAGGTCACCTTTGCTGGCTCCTGTTTCTTTGTCCATTTTTGTAGGTTAGGGTTTCTTAGGCTTCTGACTCAGGTCCCTTTGGTCTTCCTGATTCATTTCAGTTCACTCAGCTTCAATGATGGCCTCTACATGCTGAAGGCTCCCTACTGTGTATCTTTCACTCAGAAGCGAAATCGTGCCAGTTTGACCTCTTACATAGTTTTCACTGGGCTGTGACAGGGCAGCACTCAGTTCCAATGCAGAGTCCCACCGTTATTGTGTTCTCCCACCCCTAAAAGCACAGACTCTGTCTCTCTACCACGTGGCCACTTCTGGGGGACAGTAGAGGGTGGTGTGGGCAATTCGAGACTGTCTTTCCTACCCTCTTCAGTGCCTCTTTCAGTGACATGAAGTTAAGACCAGGTACTGGGATTGCTCACCTGATTTTTCAGTTCTTATGAAGGTGCTTTTTATGTGCCGCGTAGCTCCCTGTGGTATTCCAGAAGGGAGGACCATCGGTGGAGGCTTCTTTTCGGCCGTCTTACCCTGCCTCCTCTAGGCTGTGTTCTTATCTGCCTCCCCCCCCCCCGCACCCCCCCCCCCACGCCCACTGCTCCCGCACTGGCTAGAACTCCATGAATGCTCCACGGAAGAGGCTTACATTCGGTGCTGTCCCTTCAACTTGTTTTCATAAAAGCAACCTGAGTGAACTTTCTGCACTCTAAACCTCATCATGCTGCTCCCTCCTTAAAGCCTACCTGCCTCCAGGACCAAGTCCCGATCCTTCACTGGGTCTTCAAGGCTCTGTGACCTGGCCCTGGCCCTCTGTAGCAAGGGGATCTGCTCTCAACGTCCCAACCGTATGAAAGTTTTCTCTGGCTTCTGGCCCTCACCTGGAAATTCCTCCTTTACTCCCTCTTGCCTCGCCTCCCCTCTTGACTTTCAGGTCTCACTTTAGAGGCCTCTTCCCTTTGGAGGCCATGAGTCCCTCGTATGTGTTCCCGCCTCGTATGCTCCATACGTGCCTTTCACAACGTGCTCACGTGGATGTGGGATTGCTCCCTGGTGCCCCGCTTCTGGACTATGAGTGCCATGAGAAGAGGAGCCCCATTGGTCTTGTTTCCGCCCTGTATTCCATGCCTCAGAGGGCACGACTCAGGACCAGCTGAAGAGCAGAATCTTCTTGGAAAGTGCCTACACTGAGAGCCTTGTGTTCTAACAGATTTTAGTCATTTACAAACTATACGTATGCATATAATTTTTTTTTCCACAAAATGCACCCGTGTGGAGAAAGGACTGAAAGATTCAACTTAAAACACACACTCCAGAGCCAAACCCAGTATTCGTCTACCCAAATGTCACCCCTCTGATTGTCCTTTGGCCTGGAAATCAAGACTGACCAACTACAATGCCTGTTGCTAGAATGGGCAATGCTGAGGGAGTCAGAAGCAGATTCAGCAGGAACATCTCCCAGCTCTGAAACTTGTTGTCTTTGCTTTAGTTTCTACTACAGAAAACACCAAAGACATCCAAGGCTACCCTGTCCCCTGTCACCAGAACTTGCTGCTGGCCATTTCCAATCCATCTCATACCATTTGAATTGATTCTGCTGTTTCTCTACCTTTGTAAGAAGAAGTTTCACTTATTTTGTGTTGAGAAGTACAAGTGGGGGAAAGGCATCCTGTCTTCCATCATACAGTGTCCATCCCAAACTGGTCAGTGCCAGGTGGCCAGGACACTCAGGAGCCACTGGTCCACGGTGTCCAGATGAGGATCAGAGAGCACGGGGGAGGGGAGATCATGGGCCATGGCAAATTTTAAGGCAGATTTCAGCACACCATTCTTTAGGTAGCTCAGTCTGCTCCAGGTAGAAACCCTAGTGATGCCACACCGATAGAGAGGGGGCAAGAATTCCTCTTTTCAGCAAGGGGTTCCCCAAAACCTTTGTCCTTGTCAAGAAGGATGAGCATACTAGTGTCCTTATTATCTTGAAAGCTCTCATAGTGATGGCAGTCAGTACTGCCAATCAGGTAATCAAAGACAGCTGTGTTAATGTGTCCAAGAGGCACAGGCCAGAGTCATAAGGGGACACTGTTCTTATAGCATCACAGTAGCTCTCATCATACTCCCACCTGGTCAATTTGCCTTCTCGGTTAAGTCCTGCCCCCACGGGTGTCGGTGTTTCTGCAGAGGCCACACATCCAGAAGCCAAAGTGTGACAGGTCCTTCCACTGTGTCTCCATCAGCACAAGCTGGTTCTGTTTCTCAGTAGTAATCACACTTCCCATAAAAACGAGTATCGTTTCCTACAGTTAGGAAGGGGCTCAACAGCTGCTCCATGGCTTGATCTCTGTCTGAAGATGAACAAATCTGCCCACCATCAGCGGGGCTTTCAGACACCCAGAATCCTGTCCAGGCTGCTAGCTCTGCACTGTGTGTATCATAACCGGCATGTGGTTCCCTTCTACTACATAGTCTCGGCTATACTGTTTAGGTTTGAAAACAACTTTCTGTTCCCTTTCAAGAACGAGTAAGGCTTTCAGCTGTGTCCCTTTATAACCCACATCAGCTTTAATAATTTGCTTGGTGGCCATGGCATACATGATTGCCCCAGCTCTGGTGTCTCTTCACGGTACGCTGCCTGGGGAACCATCCACTGGGCTGCAATCTCCCAGGAAGACTGCAAGGTGTGGTCCAACTTGGGTGACAGCTCCATCCACAAGCCAGTCATCATTCAGTGAAAAGCCCTTCTGTGGTCTTCCCACAACTTAGACGTATCTAAGTTGCCAACCAGGAAAACTTTGGTAAAGATGAAGATGACAAGGAGAATTGCCAACAGCATGACTTGCTGCCTTAGCTTCATGTTGACCTCTTTTCTTCTCCCCGACCCACTCTTTGGCTCACTTATCAAGGAGAGCTGGTAGTAATGGTTACTAAGGAGATTCCATCATTATACACATTGGTCCACTTGTGGACGCACCTTCCACAGTTCCTGTTGGGCCCTAGGCTCGCTGGTAGCTGCCCATGAAGTGCAATTCAATGTGGCCCCAGCTACCTCCAAGGAAGGGCAGCCTGAGGCCACGCTCACCACCCCCATTCCCTGGCCACCTCTCTCAGTGCTGAGCCAGCCATTCCCCCGCTCCCCCACCCCACCCTACCCCCTGCCAAACTGCATTAAGTCATTATTTCTTTTCCTATTTTAATCTAGCAAATTATAGAAAATAGCTAATATAAATTAAGGAGCCAGCTGCAGTGGCTGGCACCTATAATCTCAGTTACTTGGGAAGCTAAGGCTGGAGGATCACTTGAGCCCAGAAGTTTGAGACAAGCCTGGGCAACACAGTGAGATCCCCATCTCTTAAAAAAAAAAAAAAAGATTAGCTGGATGTGGTGGCATGCACCTGACCATTTGTGAGCATCCAAAGAAGGAGAAATCAGGTGGATAAATTTCAAGCAGTGGTAGGTTGGCAGCCAGGGACTGAAATGTGTGAGGACCTAACCCCCAGCCATGGTGGATGTGCTCAGGGCCGGGGGCGAGGACATGCACCTCCCTGTTGCTCAACTGCACCCCTTTATTTCTCACCAGAGCAGTTTGGGCCACGTGTATGATATAAATGTGCACATATTTTCAGTAATTTCAGTTCTCTTTAGAGAATATTTTATCTGCTGCATCCTCTGAACTAGACATTTACTTGGAACAAAATATGTTGCAGGGTCTCCTGAATGTTCCTTAGCAGCTGAGCCATCAATCCTCTCTTTACACCTATTTAAAAGCATTTATTTGCATTTTGGGCTTTGGGGGTTTTTTTGTTACTTGTTTTTTCTTCTGAATTTCTTTTTCTACCTATAGGAGGTAAGTGGTGAGAGGTTGCTGAGGAGGCACCTAAGGCAGAGGTGGGGAGTAAGAAGATCGTTGGGGCACAGTAGGTTTAACTCCAGCTAGTCCCAGCACCTTGGTCTGACTCATTTAATAAGAGAGGGGCTAAGGCCAGGTGCAGTGGCTCATGCCTGTAATCCCAGCACTTTGGGAGGGCAAGGTGGGCAGATCACAAGGTTGGGAGTTCAAGACCAGCCTGGCCAACATGGTGAAACCCTGTCTCTACTAAAAATATAAAAATTAGCCGGACGTGGTAGGGAGTGTTTGTAATCCCAGCTACTCAGGAGGCTGAGGCAGGAGAATCACTTGAACCCGGGAGGCAGAGGTTGCAGTGAGCCAAGATTGCACCACCGCACTCCAGCCTGGGCGACAGAACAAGACTCTGTCTCAAAAAAAAAAAAAAAAAAAAAAAAAAAAAAAGAAAAGAAAAGAAAAGAAAAGAAAAAGAAAAAGAAAAAAGAAAAAATAGAAAAGAGAAAAAAGAAAGGGGCTATGAGTAACACCTGATGGGACATTTTAGACAGGGGTCCTTGTGAGAGTGGGGTACAAGCAGTGCTGATTCAGATCTGTTGCATCCAGAAGGTATCTCCCCATTTCTGTATAAAATAACATCACAGATACTAGCCGGAGGCAGGCACAACAGAGCAGTGATGTCTTTCAGTTGATGCCACCTGCTGTCACTTGGAGGGAGTATACTTTAATGAGGAAATAGAAGCAGGACTTGATCCTGAACAAATTTGAGACATATCTAGAAATGATTGGTACCACTTCTTCGGGTGGGGAAGACGACGCTGACATCCTGTCAGTGCGAGATAATGAGTCAGCAGGGTTTAGAGTATTCATGTTTATGTGACTTCTGTGTATCCACCAGGGGACATTTGGAATTTTAAACTATGAAAAGCATGTCATAATACTATTTATTGCTGGAGCAGTTATTATAAATGGCACTTTTATGACTGTGGATTGGTAAGAATAACCAGAGTTCAAATTTGATGTGCCAGACCTCAGCAATCACGTGCTTATTAAATAAGGGGTTGCTCTTCTGGTTGTTATTAGAATTCAGTAACTTAATTGAACCATGGTTTGACATAGCACTTGAAGTGGCATACATAATTTAAAAAGTGGCTTACCCATGACTAATGACTAATTTAAAAAAATATGGTTATAACCATTGAACAGGGGAGAGTAGGCCAAAAACTTTTTATCAGGTTATGAAAAAGACAAAAATGGGTGACTTGAAGAATACAAATTGCCTCATAAGTAACTTGAGGTTTGCCTCTCTATATAATGATGAGATTCGCGCTTATTGAGGACTTACAAGCTGCCATGCACACTAATGCTCACAAAAATCCTCTGAAAATGTATTATTACTATTATCTTCATTTTACAGATAAAATAACTGAGGCACAGAGATGGCACAACTTGTCCGAGGTCACACAGCCAGAAAATAGAAAAGCCAGGATATGAACTTGCGCTTTCGGGCTTCAGAAGCCATACTCTTAGTAACTCCTCTATATAGCTTTTCCATAAGTCCCATAAACTAAACTAAAAAAACACAATAAAAAGAAAAAGAATTAACAGCATCTCACTGTAGACAAACATTTCACAAAACTGAGATCTGGAAAAAAATCAGCTCTAGAATCAGTTAATTATGATATAGTTAAACCTTGATGTACTTTTCTTACTTTCTTTTCCTTTAACATGCAAACCAAAGATAATGATACTAGATTTAGTAGGGACTTTATTGCTTAGAATTGTATTATTAAAGAACTCAAGCAAACTATATGCATGAAAATGCAGCATTGACATAAACTTCAAAATTTTACCAACTTACAACTTTTGTCACAAATTTTTCAATACAAATGAGGCTAGTTTTGTTTCTAACTGCCCTGATAGTTCATTATAGTTTTTAAAATACGGTATTATTTATCAGATTGAATATGTTATATGCATTTTTATATATTGTCCCAGGATAAACATAGAATTTTTTTTTTTTTGAGATGGAGTCTCACTCTGTCACCCAAACTAGAATGCGGTGGCGTGATCTCGGTTCACTGCAACCTCTGCCTCCCGGGTTCAAGCAATCCTCTGCCTCAGCCTCCAGAGTAGCTGGGATTACAGGTGCCCACCACCATGCCTGGCTAATTTGTGTAATTTTTTAGTAGAGATGGGTTTCACCATCTTGGCCAGGCTGGTCTTAAACTCTTGAGGTTGTGATCACCCACCTCCGCCTCCCAAAGTGCTGGGATTACAGGCATGCACCACCACACCACAGCCAATACAGAATTTAAATTAATGGATTTCCTACTTTTCAGATATTGCCTTCTTGTTCTTTTTAGAATGAAGTATATATTTGTTACTTACAGTGAGTAACCTAAAACTTCTGACCCAGAAGTCTGTGCTTCAAAAATGTTTGCTATGTGGATAAGCAGGGAAGGTAGTCATTATTTCCCATTCTTTTTGGGTGTTCAGCTTCTGAACCTTCTAATTTTGGGAGAACTTCTACTTCTTAGGAGTCTTGATGGGAAAGAAGCGAAAGAGAGACAATGGCTTTCCCAGCCTCCCCTCATGCTGGGGTGTGGGTATATGACCCACGTTCCACCAGTCAGAGACCTGTCCCAGGGTAGACATTGGCATAAAAAGGAGAGATTAGCCGGGCGCGGTGGCTCAAGCCTTTAATCCCAGCACTTTGGGAGGCCGAGGCGGGTGGATCATGAGGTCGAGAGATCGAGACCATCCGGGTCAACATGGTGAAACCCCGTCTCTACTAAAAATACAAAAAATTAGCTGGGCATGGTGGCACGTGCCTGTAATCCCAGCTACTCAGGAGGCTGAGGCAGGAGAATTGCCTGAACCCAGGAGGCGGAGGTTGCGGTGAGCCGAGATCGCACCATTGCACTCCAGCCTGGGCAACAAGGGCGAAACTCCGTCTCAAAAAAAAAAAAAAAAAAAAAAAAAAAAAATCCCTGTAGGCAAAATGCAAGTTTGATGTAATTCATTATATAGAAAAGATATTTCAAATTGTTTTTCTTGTGTGGAAATACTTAAATATTAAGTCACCTGAGCATAGTCTGAACAGCCTGGAAGGCTGCTAATGAAGCTGTGCACATCATCCACGGTCCACTTCTGAATGTCTTCATCCAAGGAAAGATTTCCCCCAACTGTGAGGAGTGCATGTGTTTCTTTAAAATGGAAAGAAATTGTGGCATTAAAAACATACAGATTGATGTACAGTTACATTCATTTCCTTGTATTCTGTCACCCCAGAATGGTCTCAATTTTCAAACTCCTCAATTTGCAAACAATATATTAAGAGTTACTAGGAGGTGTGTTCTAAAAGCTTTAGCTACTTCCTCTCCTTTCTTTCTCTGAAAAGATCTAGTTCCCGTTTACTCCAGCTTCCTTCAGATTCCAACAGAAATGACCCATGGATTATAGTCTCCAGATTAACGTTACTATGTTTTTGTGATATGTGATTATCATACTCAGGATGAGACAAGAATTTAGCTACATTTTCAGCAAAATGACAAATTAATACTTTGTCGGGAAGCAGTTGGTATGGTGGCTGTATTACATACCCTTCACAATCCCTGTGTCTTAAAATATTTTTATCTAAAGGAATTCTAGAAAACTATTCAGTGTGTGTTTTTGGCATGAAATGCATTAGTATTTTTAGATTTGAATGTGTCAATGGTATTGGACCATGAAAGGTAATACTTTTGCTTAATTTTCTGTTTTTTCCCGTACTTAAATACTGGGGAGATAGAATTCATACTTTTAACCAAAAAGCCTCTCTGCTTTGTGTTAAAGAAATAAATGCTAAATTACATCAAAATTGTAAATAAAAATTCTGTTATGTTTCCCCAGATATTTACCTTCCCAGCCTTTGTTGAAAATTCTCTATATAGCAAAATATAAACAGAGGCTAGTTTCACTGACATGGCTTATTAGAACTGATGGAATAAAGTGATGCTAAGAAAAGGTAATTCCAAGCAGGATTAAGATAAAAAGGGGCAGGATGGTTACAGTTTATTATGTCGTAACCTACAGACATGGCAACCCGTAGTTAATGAGGATCTGCCATTGGCCCCTGCACACACCTACCTGGCAGAGACGGTCGAGGAAGTGGAGGACAAATCCCGTTCTTTTCATCACAGGCTGCAAAAGTCTGCTCTGAAGCCTCCTCTTTCCCACTCTCCCAGGCCTTTGCTTTCAAGGTAGCGGTGTGAGATCTCCAGGGTTTCCTCTGAGTGGGCTCGGGCTCTCCACAGGTGTTGGCAAGAGCTGTAGTTGGCTTTTCATTCGTTTCACTTGACTTCTGGTTGCTGGGTGCTTCAATTTCTGGGTCTTTTGCGTAATGATCCTCTTGATAGGGAATTGCAGGAGTCTGGGCTAGGATTTTTTCTTCTGCTTGACTTTTGGAATTCTCAGCATCACTGTCTAGAACTTTTTGATTTCCTGTATTTTTCCTCAGTCGACGACATCTCTGCCCCCAGCTCTCCTCAAAGTGTGGTGCAGTAGCCACTAGCATGGGGTTTCCCTGAAGGTTTCTGAGGGTGCTTCTGTGAAAATGCAGATCACTGGCAGGGAGCATGCTCCTGCCATGGTAGGCAGCGGGACCAGAGGGGACACCGGAGCCATAGAGGAATGGTATCCCTAGGCCTGCTAGTCCCTTAGGATTAATTTTTTCCATTCTCCTTTGCTGGTAAATAGCATACATTTCCATTTCTGTCCTGAAAACAAAACAGTATATTTTATACAGCCCATGAAAACCATTATAAATGTAATTTTAATAGCCCCCTTGCCGTCCCTAAAATAGTCCTCACACTGTTTATCTGAAGTTTGTTTGGTGGAAACATGAATCCCCCCAAAGCCAGCAAGAAGGAGAGTTTTGAGTTAGATCTGAAGATTTGTATGAGTCTCACAACGGAAGTCCAAAGGCCAGTCTTTAGAGTGTTACCTCTAAATAGACGGGCAAATTTAGCAGGGATGGGGCTTATGCAGCACCGGTAATTCCTTGCCAGAGATTAATCCGCAAAAAACCTAAAGTACTGGGAAGAGGTTTTCAAACCCTGCGAAATAATCTTAGACTCAAGAAAGACTGGTAGACAATGCAAGTCTCAATATTTATAAATTAATGCAGTGGCTGGGGAAGAGGGGAGGGGAAGACTTGGTGATTTGGCTTACTTCACTTTGCTTAGCGGTCCTCAGCTGGACCCCTTTGGGTTCAGTGATGAGAAAGTTGCCACTCTGCCTTCTCTTACCCTGGGGCCACACCCCATTCATTGTTATACTTTTCTTTCACCTTCACTACAGCTGAAGGCCACTGTTGGGCTGACATGGGGTTGTCTGAGCTCTGATGGCGTAATCTGAAGTTAGGTTGGCAAACTTGGCTCCTATCTTTGCGCAAAATTTTAGTCATTTAAGACAGCAGTGCCAATATGAACTTCAGAGGAATCGTAGACATTTTAATTATGGGACATTGATGGTCTATTGCAATCTGTGTGCTAATACTACTGTTAGCTTCACCTGTGGGATTTCTAATCTTGCTTTTATCCTTAACCAACCTGCACATGTGTTTGTATTTGCTTTTCTTTCTTTCTTTCTTTTTTTTTTTTTTTTTTAAGTGAAAGCGAGTTTATGAAGAAGATAAAGGAATAGAGAATGGCTACTTCATAGGCAGAGCAGACTATGTTTCTTTTTGTAATCTGCCTGAAATGCTTTCTCTAAGTAATTTGTGTGTGTGTATGTATGTATGTGTATTTATTTGTTATATACACATCTATTCATTTGTTATATGAATATAACAAGTTAATAAATGAGCACGTGAATGAATAGAAAATAAATAAAACAACAATTGCCAAATTACCTGGCAGTATGATGCCTTTGAATCATTTCATTCCTTCTGGCCACTGCCTTTATGGATTCAGGTGGTAAAATACCCCAACCTTAAAAAAGAAAAACACCATCCCACCCCAAAAATAAATTAAAAACATGCATTGGAAACATAACGATGTAAAACAGTATCTGCAAAAACAAAAACAAAACAAACCAGCAGCTGTGCAGTTTTGGAAATGGTATCAGATGATAGCTGTTCGGTGTCTTAGAGTCACGTTGGTGATACCATGATAAATACCAGATAACTTTTTGTTCTTTAATTGTTGGTCTCATGACCAGTGACATTTTCCTGCCTTACATTAAAAGAAAAAAGATGCCGGGCGCGGTGGCTCAAGCCTGTAATCCCAGCACTTTGGGAGGCCGAGGCGGATGGAACATGAGGTCAAGAGATCAAGACCATCCCGGTCAACATGGTGAAACCCCGTCTCTACAAAAAAAAAAAAAAAAAAATTAGCTGGGCATGGTGGCTCGTGCCTGTGATCCCAGCTACTCAGGAGGCTGAGACAGGAGAATTGCCTGAACCCAGGAGGCGGAGGTTGCAGTGAGCCGAGATCTCGCCATTGCACTCCAGCCTGGGTAACAAGAGCAAAACTCCGTCTAAAAAAAAAAAAAGAAAAAGAAAAAAGATGAAGTGATTTGTGACTCTCTTGATTGTTGCTTTTTTTGTCTTTTTTTTTTTTTTTTTTTTTTTTTTTTTTTTTTTTTTTGAGACGGAGTTTCGCTCGTTACCCAGGCTGGAGTGCAATGGCGCGATCTCGGCTCACCGCAACCTCCGCCTCCTGGGTTCAGGCAATTCTCCTGCCTCAGCCTCCTGAGTAGCTGCGATTACAGGCACGAGCCACCATGCCCAGCTAATTTTTTTTTTTTTTGTAGAGACGGGGTTTCACCATGTTGACCGGGGTGGTCTCGATCTCTTGACCTCGTGATCCACCCGCCTCGGCCTCCCAAAGTGCTGGGATTACAGGCTTGAGCCACCGCGCCCGGCTTTTTTTTTGTCTTTTAAAAGTATATTTTTTTGGGGGTACAACGTGATGTTTTGATATATGTATACATTGTGGAATGATTAACTTGAGCTAATTAGCATTTCACCTTACATATTTAACACTTTTTGTGGTCAGAAGATTTACAGTTTACTCCTTGAGACAGGGTCTTGCTCTGTCATCCAGGCTGAAGTGCAGTGGCACAATCTCAGCTCGCTGCCACCTCTGACTCCCGGGTTCAAGTGATTCTCCTGCCTCAGCCTCCCAAATAACTGGAATTACAGGCGCCTGCCACCATACCCAGCTAATTTTTGTATTTTTAGTAGAGATGGGGTTTCACCATGTTGGCCAGGCTGGTCTCAAACACTTGACCTCAGGTGATCTGCCCACCTCAGCCTCCCAAAGTGCTGGGATTACAGGCGTGAGCCACCGTGCCCAGCCCTACATCCCTGTTTTTTAAACAGCCCTGTCTTAGCTTCTGTTTTGCCAACTTACCTAGTAGCTCAGTTTTTGCAGGACTGAGGCCTTATCTTGCCCTTGCTCTCTCTTACACTTCAGCCTTGAGGTGAGAGACCTGACCTATGTCCCTAGAGAAAGGTGGTCGACCTGTTTGCTTTTATATCCAAATATCGGCAATTTCTGGGTTCTTTATCCAGAAGAGTCAGCAGTGCAGTTGCTTTACTAGTCTATTGGCCTGTTGTCTGTAATCAGGGGCTACAGCTTACTGGGCTATTGCTGCCAGGTGGCCTCCATCCAGGATCTGCTGTTGGACTGTCTCCTTTGGTCCTTGAACCAGTTTACCAGGTGGGTCCAGTTTCAGATCCAGCCCTTGCTTGAATGCTTGCCCTCACTGCAGTTAAATGGATTCGTGACCTGAGGTAGACAGCATACTCAAATCCAGGCGGGCCAGCCTCTTCACTGACCCAGGCGTGAATCCTATTTCTTTTTGTGTCAGGTTTTTCCTTCACATTGTTCTCATCTATTACGAGTTGTTGGAATTGTGGAGCAGGGATAAGCAGAAACTTATGAATATGGTTTTTTGGGGAGAGACGATACACCAGTTTGAGCTTCAGTGTTGTGGGGAAATTCTCACCTAGTCTCTCCTGAGCCCTCACAAGTCATGTTTTCACCGTCACGACTCTACTGAAATTGCTTCTATCGGAGTCACTGATGACCTCTGCATAGCGCTAAATCTAATGACATATTCTCAGTTTTCATCTTACTTGCTCTGCAAATGGCACACTTGACACAGCTCCTCACTCCTTAAAACAGTGCATTGTAAAATGATTGTAAATCTTATAACCACAAAAAGTGATAAATAAGGCTATGTGTGGTGGCCCACATCTGTAATCCCAGCACTTTAGGAGGCCAAGATGGGGGTATCACTTGAGGTTAGAAGTTCCAGACCAGCCTAGCCAACATGGTGAAACCTCATCTCTACTAACAATACAAAAATTAGCTGGGCATGGTGGTGGGCACCTGTAATCTCGGCTACTAGGGAGGCTGAGGCAGGAGAATCGCTTGAACTCAGGAGGCGGAGGTTGCAGTGAGCCGAAATCATGCTATTGCACTCCAGCCTGGGTGACAAGAGCAAAACTCCATCTCGAACAAACAACAGCAACAAGTGATAAATATGTGAGGTGAGGCATATGGTGATTCGCTTGATTTAATCATTCCACACTTTCTTCCCATGGCCTCCAGGCCAGCATACTTTCCTGGGTTTCTTCCTACCCCACTGGTTCCCCTCACTTGTTTGACTTCTCCCTTGCTTGCTCTTCCTTGTCTTCTGGACTCTGTTAGTTGGTTGGTGTCAGGGATGCTCCTTTTAACTCTTCTATTTACTCTCTCTCCGTAGGTGATCTGATATAGCCTCATATATGCTGATCACTTCCAAAATTATATCCCCAAGTTGTCCTTAGAAGTTCCCTGCAGGCCGGGCGTGGTGGCTCAAGCCTGTAATCCCAGCACTTCGGGAGGCCGAGGCGGGTGGATCACGAGGTCGAGAGATCGAGACCATCCTGGTCAACATGGTGAAACCCCGTCTCTACTAAAAATACAAAAAAATTAGCTGGGCGTGGTGGCACGTGCCTGTAATCCCAGCTACTCAGGAGGCTGAGGCAAGAGAATTGCCTGAACCCAGGAGGAGGAGGTTGCGGTGAGCCGAGATCGCGCCATTGCACTCCAGCCTGGGTAACAAGAGCGAAACTCCGTCTCAAAAAAAAAAAAAAAAGAAGTTCTCCCTGCATTCAGCTGCCTTCGTGACCTGTCTGCTTGGGTGTCTATTAGGCATCTGAGATGTAAGATGAGCAAGCTGAACCCCTGATATGTCTCCCTCCCCAACAACCCTGTTCCTTTCACAATCTTCCTCAACTCAATGAGTAGCAACTCCATCTTTCCCACTATTCACACCAAAATTTTTGATGTCATTCTTAGTATCTCTTTCTTCCACCTTCCACATACACGCTGTGAGAAAATTTCATTGTTTCCACAATCGAAATAATTACAGAATTTAACCACTTACTATTCCTGCTGTTATCACCCATGACCAAGTTGTCAAAAATTTTTAGCCATTCTAATAGCCACTAATTCCCATCAGTTTATTCCCAGAACTTGGATCCCTTCACGTTTGTCCCCAACTCAGCAGCCAGAATTATTCTGGTAACATTTAAGTCAGACCGTGTTGCTCTTCTGCTCAAATTCCTTGAAGGGTTCCCCTTTTACTCAGAATAAAAGCCAAATTTTCACTATGACCATCGGGCCCATGTAAACTGCCTTAAGCCCCACTAATTCTCAGATCTAATCTCCTCATAACTTTATCAGTTCGTCATGTGTAAGATAAGACGAATAATAATACTGCAGTTCTTCATGTTGTTCCTGAATAAATTGAGGCTTAGAGGAGTTAGTCAGCTTGCACTGGGTCACACAGTGGTAGCATCATGATCTGAAACTAGGTGGTGGCTACAGAGACTACAGATACCACCACACAGTCCTGCCTCCGATATTTAGGAGTCAAATGATAGCAAGTGTAATGCGTCCCTCCAGTTCAAAATGACTCCACAGATGACAGCCAGACTTCCCGTGCTCATACCTGGGTAGATCCGATTGGACAACACACTTGGCATACTCGTGTTTGGTAGAACAGAGGATCCAAACTGGGGAGGAACACAAAACTGTCTTGGATCAGTTGGAGCTACAGTGGAAGGCAATACATCTCTAGGAACAAAAAGATATAAAATAAAATAGGTAAAATGAGGTTGGAGTACAAAATTTCCATGGCTGAGTCAGTGAGATTTTTTTTTATTGCCATGTGGGATTCTATCATCCCTTCCCAAAGTGAAATACAAAAGTCCTGGAGTCTTTAGGAGTTTATAGAGAAATATGGTGGAGAGATTGGGAAGAACTCTACTAATGAAGGACTGATCCAGCTGACAACAAAACAGAGGAAGCAGGAAAGGAAAGTTTCAGGGATGTCTGGAAAAAAAGACTTAACAAATCAACACTGCTCTCTGATTTTTCATGACCAACAGTCTACTCTGACCACAAATTCTTTCCTCGTTTAATGGGCATGCTTTGGTCGGGTTGGCCATTTGGGATCAATGTTTGAGTACCTGGGTGGACAACTTGTTCTGCTGAACATTAGTGGTCTCTAGACGTTCCACTTTATTGTTCACAGTCCATAAACAAGAATAAATAATGAGGCTGGGTGCGGTGGCTCATGCCTGTAATCCTAGCACTTTGGGAGGCTGAGGTGGCCAGATCATAAGGTCCAGGAGTTCAAGACCAGCCTGGCCAGCATGATGAAACCCCGTCTCTACTAAAAACACAAAAAATTAGCTGGGCATGGTGGTGCATGCCAGTAATCCCAGCTACTCAGGAGGCTGGGGTAGGAGAATCACTTGAACCCAGGAGGTGGAGGTTGCAGTGAGCTGAGGTTGCACCACTGCACTCCAGCCTGGTGACAGAGCGAGACTCTGCCTCAAAATAAATAAATAAATAAATAAATAAATAAATAAATAAATAAATAATTAATTCTATTTTCTCTCCTGAATGTCAAAATATTAAAAAAAAAAAAAAAAGACCCAAGGGAAGGTAGTAGGTTCCTTCCAGAGCGTGCAACCCAAATACCTATAATTTACCTTGTATTAAAAAGAAAGAATTGTTTCTTCACAGGAAATCTGGGGTACCAAGTTGTTATGAAGTTATTTCCCCTCCCCCCTGCAAAAAAAAAATTAGCACATGAAGCCTTAACCACGAATGTGACTGTAGTTGGAGACAGGGCCTTTAAGGAGGTAATTTTGATTAAATGATATGATAAAGGTGGAACCCTAATCCGATAGGACTGGTGTCCTTTTAAGAACAAGAGATACCAGGGATCCTTTTCTGCACATGTGCACTAGGAAGGGCCACGTGAGGATACAGTGAGCAGGTGTCTGCCTGTAAGCCAGAGACCTCACCAGAAACCAACGCTGCAGCACATGATCTTGGACTCTCAGCTCCAGAACCAAGAAATAAAGTTCTGCTGTGTAAGCCATCCAGCCTGTAGTATTTTATTATGGCAGCCTTAGAAGACTAATACTCCAATGTTTGTCCCTGCATAATGCCTGTCTATACATAGTAAGTGCTCATTGGTTTTTTGCTGAGTGAGTAGGTCAAGCAGGCCTCAGAGGAGGAACAGCAGCAAATGTCCTGAGAGTGAGGTCAGCAGGGTATCTCGACTTGAATTACTGCACCACAGTTCACTGAAATAACACTAGACAATAAAACAACACTGGAGCTGACATCATTCCAAAACTTAGTGACTGTCCATGTGGTTCTTTGATTAAACGATTATGCTGGGGAGAAATACCTGTCCACAGTTGGAGGCCCAAATGGCGAGGGAATCAGCGGGATCGTCTGCTGTCCTGATGGTGTCAATAAAGGGTTCACAGCCATCACTGGGTTTGTCATCAGTATCTCTCGCCACTGCTGGAGCTCTGAAAAGAACCAGACAGACACTTCAACAAATAACTCTACTTTTTGTGAAAGATTTGAATTCTTTCTGAACACAATAAAAGCCCTTCGTATTTTCACAACACTTGGGAAGACAAGTTACACCAAGCTTTTATTTACACAAAAACCCCAGATATAATTGTAGAACTCAGTGTTTTATCAGTATGCCCTTGGAACTTGTTGCAGAGTTCACTGTAATACCATACCAAACTACAAGCAATAATAAAAATTAAACCAGCCTTGCAAGATTCCAGAAATACCAACTTTCTTTTTTTAGATGGAGTTTCACTTTTTGCCCAGACTGGAGTGCAATGGCACGATCTCAGCTCACTGCAACGTCTGCCTCTTGGGTTCAAGCAATTCTCCTGCCTCAGCCTCCCAAGTAGCTGGGATTACAGGTGTGCGCCACCACACCCAGCTACTTTTTTTTGTATTTTTAGTAGAAACAAGGTTTCTCTATGTTGACCAGGCTGGGCTCAAACTCCTGATCTCTGGTGATTCACCCACTTTGGCCTCCCAAAGTGCTGGGATTACAGGTGTAAGCCACTGTGCCCTGCCTATAGGCTCTATTTTGTGCAGCAGATATCTAGAACTTATTCGTCCAGCGTGAAATAAACTTCAACCACTGGACAACAGTTTTCCATATCTATCACCCCCAGCCTCTGGCAACCACTGTTAGATTTTCTGCTTCTATGAGTTTGACTATTTTAGACACCTCGGAGAAGTAGAATCACGCAGTATTTGTCCTGCTGTGACGGGCGCTTTTTCACTTAGCATAATGTCCTCCAGGTTCATTCATTGTGCATGTCAAAATGTATTAAGAAGGTAAATTTCATGTTAAGTATTCTTACCACAAAATAAAACAAAACCAAAGGGACACAAGAAAACTTTAGGAAGTGTTGGCTATGTCTGTTACCTTAAGCGATGGCTTCACGGATTATGCATATGTCTAAACTCATCAAATTGTACACATTAAATATGTGCAATTTTTTTATATCAGATATTCCTCAGTAAGGCTATTTTTTAAAAAATACAGGGCTCAGGCTGGGCACAGTGGCTCACACCTGTAATCCCAGCATTTTGGGAGGCCAAGGTGGGTAGATCGCCTGAGGTCAGGAGTTCAAGACCAGCCTGGCCAACATGGTGAAGCCCCATCTCTACTAAAAATAGAAAAATTAGCCAGGTGTGGTGCCTGTAGTCCCAGCTACTCAGGAGACTGAGGCAGAAGAATCACTTGAATGCAGGAGGCAGAGGTTGCAGTGAGCCAAGATAGCACCACTGCACTCCAGCCTGGGCGACAGAGGGAGACTCTGTCTCAAAAAATATAAATAAATAAATAAATAAATAAATGTGTGTGTGTGTGTGTGTGTGTGTGTGTGTGTGTGTGTATGTACACATATAGTATGTGTATATATATGTGTGTGTGTGTGTGTGTGTATGTATATATATATGGCTCGGCTTGTATCCTATGTGATGTCTGAGACAAGTCAGAAGGAAGGAGAGGGAATAAGAAAGAGAGGAGCAAGAATTTCTTAGAGGCTGACCACCTCTCTTCCTCATACATGTTACCTTTTAAAAAAGCCATGGAGATGAGTCACCAAAAGGAGATGAGATTGTTTTACTTTGGAATTCCCAAAGCAGGCCCTAAGACAAGAACTTAAGTAATGGCTTATTTGGGAGGCAATCCCAGGAAACCCAGGTGAGGCAGTAGGGAAGCAAGACCAGGAAGGGAAAAGCCAGTGAAGGGTGAGTGAATTGATGTGCGGGTTTTCACTGTGGGCACTGGTGCTCAGTCCTGCTGGGAACCCTTTAAGAAGCCTATGGTAGACTATCTCAGAATTGCCCTCATGAAGGAAAAAGAGTTGGCCCCTCCACTTCTGTGGGCCATTGGTCGAAGGCAAAGTTTGCCTTTGCACATGGGTTATGCTTGAGCTAGACACAGCAAGCTCCTGTGGTGCAGAAGAAAACCTTCAGACTGAGAAACAGAGAGAGAGAGACAGAGAGAGAGAGAGAGAGAGAGAGATGCAGGAGCTTGAGATGGGAAATGACTTCCATGGTTGTGGGTGAACTCAGAGGGAGGCCAGGAAGATGTCAGGTAGGGCAGCAACACTGACTAGTGCTACTGAGGCAATGTGGCAGCCTTCCAATGTCATTCCACTAGACAACTGGCACAGGTGCCTTTCTTCTGAAATACCAGGTTTGCCAGGCTTAGACATATCTATATGAGGCTCTGTAGGGTCCACTGTCTGCAACAAAACAGCAGGATTTTTTTTTTTTTTTTTTACCATTAGTCACAAGTTACGTGAAATAAGTGGGAGACCTCAGGGCTATGTGGCCAATGGCAAAGGACAAGCCTTATCTAATGTACCATTAAAACCATCCTTGGTACTACATCTGTTCTTGATTCCATGGTTCTTGGGTCTGGCTTGCTTTGTTTTTACAATGCCAGGGGGGTGGTTCATTGTTTTTGAATCAATCCACCAAATTTTAATCCAAAATGCAAGCTATTCTGAGTGCCTGCAGAAATGTCCACGTGTCATGGAAGCCCCTGGGCAGGACAATGAGCCGTTGGCATCTGCAGCACCTGTGTGTTACAGTTTTGGGCTCCGCTTGGCTCCCCTGGTTTCTTTTAATCCTTGCACTTCTGAACTAGTACTTACTCACTTATCATTATAATATCGATTGATGCCCAAATACTCTTTAAAGAAAAGGATTGCTGACCAGGCGCGGTGGCTCACGCCTGTAAACCCAACACTTTGGGAGGCCGAGGTAGGCGGATCACAAGGTCAGGAGTTCGAGGCCAGCCTGACCAATATGGTGAAACCCTGTCTCTGCTAAAAATAGAAAAATTACCAGGGTGTGGTGGTGCATGCCGTCGTCTCAGCTACCTGGGAAGCTGAGGCAGAAGAATTGCTTGAACCCGGGAGGCGGAGGATGCAGTGAGCCAAGATCACGCCACTGCACTCCAGCCTGGATGAAGAACAAGACTCTATCTCAAAAAACAAAAAACAGATTTGTTTATCATGCACATACCTCAAATTACATATTTTTAACTTTTATTTTTCAGAGAAGTTTTAGGTTCACAGCAAAATGGAGTAGACAGTACGGAGTTTTCATATCTTCCCACAGCACACACATGCACAGCTTCCCCACTGCCAGCACCCTGCGGCAGAGTGTACACTTGTTACAATCAGTTAAGCTACACTGACACATCGTTGGCACCCAGAATTCATAGTTTACATGTGGATTCACTCTTGGTGTTGTACGTTCCATGATTCTGACAAATGTAGAATGGCACTTATCCACCAATATACAGTACAGTATAGTATAGACTAGAATAGTTTCATTGCCCTGAGCCAAATTATATTTTGAAGGAAATAAATTCAGAATACTTTCAAGCAATGTTCTGAGGTTGATCTGATCTTTCCCTTCATTAGCCAGGTAGACACTTGAAACTCCAAATCTGTGTTCCCTTAAAACCACTGTTTTGGGGGTGCTGAGTCATATGATCAAGGATGAGTCTAAATGCATACTTTCATATTTTGAGGGCATCCCCTTCTATTTTAGACACATGTAGACAAATTGTAAACTAAGGTCACTTTGCTGGAGCAGATGAAACGCCTGAGTAAAAGTGCACACTGGAAATAAATTTTAAGTGCAGAGCGTGTCTGGTAATCCCAAAATGAGGGAGTGCAGTGGTGCTTAGGTCTGCATTCAGGCTGGATTTCCCTGACCCAGAGCTCTAATCCTGGATGCCCAGCACATTAGGAGGATGAGGACTCCTTAATCTCTGTCTTCAGACTCTTAACCTCAACAAACCCCTCCAGGCAGCACATAGATGATTTAGCTAGTGCTAATTCTGTCTCAACTGATTAGGGCAGTAGTAGTAAGACGTGAACTTCATGAACTAAAGCCCTTGCCAAATCAGCAGATATTCATTGAATGATTTCCCAGTGCCCAGTAGCCAGCTGCCAGTTTTATATATTTGTCTGTTATTGGCTATACTATGACCATTCATTAAAATCAGTGCAATTTGAGTTTAGAAAATCCTGGATTTGAGCAATTATATGTAGACTATTTATGGTATGTATGATGCATGTTTTCTGATTACATACATTAAAATGAGTTAGTTTTTAAGTATCTGCTACACCTGGTAAGTTTTTATATTTGAAAAGTAGAGCGGTAGAATTAAATGTTTCCACAGTTCTGAGATAAATAAATGTAAAATTTTAAGTTAAAATGAGAGTAATTTTTACAATTCAGGCCTGGCTTCTTATGAGTTTTCTTGACTTTCTCTTAGGCAGTATCCCAACAATTCCAAAGTCATTCCTCCTGCTTTTGCTTTGCAGAGGTCTTTGAAGCCCGTCTCCTCCAACTCTGCTCTGAGCAAAACCCAAATAGGCCTTCTTCTGGATCTCTCCGTATCTTGCTCCTACCCATCTCTGCCAAGGACAGAGGAGAACTTTAGAGATCTCTTTTCTACGGGTTTGAATTATGCCGCTCTCACCCCACTTTAGAAGGAAACTAGATTTAATTTTAGTTTCAGTTTTAAATAACAGTAGGAATTTTCTCTGTTAAACTAGCACAATATAAATAAAAAGGAGTTATCACTGTAATAGTGTGTGCTACTACCAACAAAGACAGTTCATCCTGAAGCACTTGGCAGTGCCGCTGAAATGTACTTCACTTTCACTGAAGGCATACGCTTTTAGTACTTTTCTAACAGCATTTCACCATAGCACTCACCCTGGAAATCGTTGTTGAAGACAGTGAGTTATGTGCTGGCTGCTCTCACTTCTTATTTCTTTTTACTCTGGAAGCTCATTTTCATTAGATCCATCCATGCCATCTTGAAATGTCAGGTGCTAGGCACAATTACAAATATCCTAACAAAAAAGGTAAACCTTTGCCATCATTAGAATAAGTCAAAATTACGTAATTTCTACTGGATTCCATATAATTTATGTGCTACTACAGTTTGTATAAATTACATTCACTTTCTTCAAAAGATTGTGAAGCAAAGTCCATTACATATAAATCTGTAGAGATTAAAGTGAAATTCTAGCCATATTCATATAATGGAACTGAATATTAGGTATTTTAGTTAGAAAGTCTTAAAGAATGAATTAAGAAATATCAATATAGATTTCATTTCATGATTATCATTGATTGTTCTTCAATGTTTTTCTGAAATTTTCTTTTTTTTGAGACTGAGTTTCACTCTTGTTACCCAGGCTGGAGAGAAATGGCGCGATCTCGGCTCACTGCAACCTCCGCCTCCCGGGTTCAGGCAATTCTGCCTCAGCCTCCTGAGTAGCTGGGATTACAGGCACACACCACCATGCCCAGCTAATTTTTTGTATTTTTAGTAGAGACGGGGGGTTTCACCATGTTGACCAAGATGGCCTCCATCTCTTGACCTCGTGATCCACCTGCCTTGGCCTCCCAAAGTGCTAGGATTACAGGCTTGAGCCACCGTGCCCGGCCTGTTTTTCTGAAATTTTCTACTCTGACATTTCATGGTTCATACATCATGACAATTTTTGGAATATAGATATTTGCAGTAATGGGAGGCCATTAAAATAATAATGTGTAGTAAACATACAGATGTAACACATAGAGGTAGGTACTTAATCTATTTGAAGATAATAAAACAACAGTAAATTTACATACAACTTTGAACTGGCTTTATCTTAAATAAATGTCATTTTATTTTCACTTAAAAACTCCAAACACTGAGATCAGGCAGTGTTGATTTGGAGGAATGGTACTTTGTCTTTACTTGTTAGTAACTTCAGTCAAGTAGGAATTTATTAGCCCACACACTGTTAGTAATAAAGCCAATAATGTTTACAGATAAACTTAAGCATTTCCTTCAAGATAAAGATGTCCTTCTATTTTATATGTACACTATTTTACTTACAGTAACTAGCCTCGATTTTGGCCGAATCAATATGTAGTTATGTACTTACATCCTCTGTGAAGACTTCCTGTCTTTGATATTGCTGATGGAAGAACCACACAAAGACTTTCTGTCCTTCAACTGTGGAAGCTTCTCTGGCTGCAGGTTGAAAAATACATCTGACAACCCTTTCGAAAATGGTCTTAATTCAGTTTAACCTTGCCTTAAATACGAATTCAACTAAGTTGATTAGTCCTATTTCATGACAGAAACGTTGCCCTCTGATATCCTCTACAGATAGGCTAAAAGATGTTAAGCCCAAGGAAAGTGCCCTGCAAGGTACATAAACCTGTCTCAGAGCTTAGCCGTTGGTGTAATCCTTCCTTAGCCTTTAAGATGCTTTGTGGGCATTCACTTAATACCACTGTTCAACTTGACACAAAAGAAAAATACTATGCAAATAAATAATAAGCTTTTCTTTGATGGAACTATATAGTCTATTTCATATTTCCAACAGGTATCAAGTGGAAACGTTTCTTTTGCAAGTAAGAAAAAAACCGAAGTTATTTTCCACAGAGCTGAAACATTTGACAAAAGATGGCAGTCTATCTTAAAAGAAGCTTCTATAATGGACAATTGCACTTTAATTCTTTTTTTTTTCTTTTTTTATAAACGGGGTTTCACCATGTTGGTCAGGCT